AACCACCCATGCGCGTCGGGAAGAGATGGGCCAATTCATGCCACGCGGAGGTTACGAGAAAGTGAAAGGGGGCGCGCTGGGCCATCGCTGGCGGGGGGGCGACTGGCAGACCAGCGCGCGTTGGATTGACAGTGGCAATGGAAACGAAAACAACCCAGATCACCGATCTAGACTAGAGGCCGAACAGGCTAATATAACCCCGAGGAGAATAACACACCAGCTGCCGCGCGTCCACCAGGGGCCCAGGAATTCCTATTCTCGATGGCTGTGCCAGAGGGACCAGGACGTAACAAGGGCTCGCGGTAGAAGGGCCTCAAGCAGGGTCTCATCGACGTCGAGCGAGCTTGCTCTTACGATCCCGCAAGAGAATACATATTTGGCGACCTTCCCCAGGAGGACTACGAGCCAGGCTTGCGCGGCAGGCTGTTTAAATCAATGCATGGAACCAGAGATGCCACCAGAAACTGGGGGGATTGTTATGTGGACTTTGTGGGGTCGGTCGGATTTACCAGTGGTGCGGCATCGCCGTGAGCATCCAGACGCACAACGAGAATAATATGGTTAACCGTTCGCGGGGGTGACTTGACCCCGCCAGGCAGCGACCTTTACCTCGACCGGAAGGGGGAGTTACAGATGAAGGCTTGAGGGGGGTCAGGGCCTGGAGAGGAGGTGGAGAGCGCAATCGGTGTACTCAACATGATCATTGGGTGGGCGCATAATGTCAGAGGCGCGCGGGGATTCTTGCGCATGAGGTCAGACATCATGAGAGCGAAGTACAATCCGAGGTACCGGGAGAGAAGCTACCCGCGGGCGAAGGAGATACGGAGGAATTGTCGCCGAGCATGGCCAAGCAATTTCAGGCAATGACCGCCGGGGGAAATTACTTAGCCCGTGATCGATCGGACATCCATTTCTCAGTCAGAGAGGTGGCAAGAAGTATGGCGAAGCCCACAGTGGGCTCGTGGAAAAGGTTTGATTCAACCAGGTAGGTATCTCAAGTCGCACGATCGGTCAGGTAAGTACCAGGACAAATCGAGTAAATTGACGGCGCGCACAGACGCGAACTCTGTTGGGTGTAAAAGAACGAGGAAGTCAACGAGTGGAAGAGTAGTGTTGTGGGGACCTCATCGGATTAAATCTTGGAGCGCAGCACTGGGCCTTTTAGCAATGTCATCGGGGGAGGCGGAGCATCATGGAACGAGTAAAGGGAGCGTCTGTTGGACTGGGTTTACAATCGGTTTTGAAATATTATGACGTAAACGCAGCATCCCAAGTAAAACTGATGTCACTGCTGCCAAAGCGATAGCAAGCAGGAGAGGGTTCGGCAAAGTGAAACACATGAGGCGTGCCAACTTCGGCTGCAAGAGAGAGAGAGTGAGGAATTGAGACGTTCAAGTGATGAAGTCTGGCGCGCATGAGAACAGTGCAGATGCATTAGTCACCAAATGCGTGAGCAAGAGTGCCATGAACACGAATCTGGATTGAACTCATCAAACGGCGCGCGAGGGCAGGCACAACTTGGCGCCTGCAACGGAGTGCTATCAAGTGTAACCATGTCGGCTATTTCAGGCTTTCACGAGGAACTCTGTTCACGACTACCATTTACCTCTTTTTCATTTCCACAGGTCTGATTCACGGTGGCGCAGGAGATGCCTCGCATCACGGTGGTGAGGCGTTGGGTGAATGCCTCGCCGTATCGCGTTGTGCCCAGTCACGCTACTAACGAACTGGACCGAGCTGAGGAGAGCCGTGGCACCGAATTTCAAGGCTGCTGGTCTTGATACTCGGTGCGCATCGGCGCCGTCGTTAAAGACGGCGCAGAAAGCCACAAGGGTGGACGGGCAACGTGCTGCGCGCGGCGGCCCCGCCCTTTCGGCCCAACGCAACAGGTTGGAAGCCGCTTCGGGACCGGGCGGGACTGCGGAAGGCGACGCGGCTCGCGTTGCCTACGCGGTGCGACCTTTCTCCTCAGACTGCCGCGGTTCCTCTCGCCACGGTGCCGCGCCGCTCCAGAACGGCACGGCCCGCGGCAAAGGGCGGAGTGCAACCGCGGCTGCGCCAGGCGGCGCGCCGGGCGGGTAGGGCGGCCCCGCGGCCGCCCCATCGTCCTCTGCGCCCAAGGCTCTCAGGCTGCTCGGCGCGGGCCCGTTCGGCGGGGGATCGTTGAGCAGCCCGAGCACGGCAAACGCGACGAGATCGCACTCGTGCGCGCGATCGTGGTGCAGATAGCGCCGTGGGATCGGTTCGGGCTTTCTCGCTAGCCGGTCGTCGTTCGGTGCCGCCTCCAGGATCACATTTCAGAGGTTGGGATGCCGGGTCAGAGGTGGGCAAGCAGCGGCCTGGCGCAGTCTTTTGCCTGCAGACTGGGCTGGAAACTCTCGCCCAGAGGAGCACCAGCAGAGGGCCAGGGCGAGGCAAAAAACGATGACTCGCAGGAGTTGCGCCATATTCGGACGCTGTCAAATGCCCCCAGTTGTCGCTGTCTGTCATCGCTGAGGGCCTCACTGCATGAACCGTTCTTTTCTGGCAAGGTGATTCTCGTGCTAATGGCTGATCTCGACCTGTGGCGCCGCACAGAGAGTGCTCAAAGGGGGCCCTCTGTAAAATTGAGGCCTGTGCAGTCAGATGACTAACATCTGGAACTCCCTACGGTCGGGAATTTTGGCTCCGCGTGTCGCGCTGCCGGTTCTGGCCCACCACGCTTCGGATTCGGCGCGACACGCTATTCACTTCCCAGTCCCAGGGCGTCCACGTCCCGAACATTTTCCAGCTTCCCGCCCCGCGGAGCAGAGCGACACGCTATCTGCTCGCAGGGGAGGGTGTCGCCGAGGCCGCCGCCGCGACGCGCTATCTAGAAGTTCCTGGCTGCATTCTGCTGAAATCCACCTGCCCCAGCAGTGCCAGTCATGTACCTGCCAGGATTCTGTGACGGGGTGGGCTCGGTTGCGGCGCTGTGATCTGCACGCCCGTCCGCGAAGGTCTGGTTCGCGTGCAGCGCTGTGCGCGGCCACCTGCTTGTCCGGGGATCCCGCGCGCTGCAGCTGTTGTTCCACGTCTTAGCTCCTCGATTATGGAACGAGGGGGTGTGGCAAGAGCGACAGAACAGGAGTGGGAGGACGGAGGGAGGATGAGGAGATAAGGATTTACATTCGGAGGTTGAAGATGACGATGGTGATGACAACCATAGTGGTGATGATGACGATGATGATGATGACGATGGTGATGATGATGATGATGATGATGATGATGGTGATGATGATGGTGATGATGATGGTGATGATGATGAGGATAATGAAGATGATGGTGCAGAAAGTGAGGACGAGGATGCGGATGAGGATGATAATGATGATGCTGATGCTAATGATGATGCTGATCGTAATAATGGTGGTGATGGTGCTGGTGGTGATGATGATAGTAATGATGGCGATGGTGATGGTGGTGGTGATGATGATGTTGGTGATGATGATCATGATGGAGGTGGTAATGATGATGATCATGGCAGACAGCATTTACCGTTTGATGATGGTGATTGTGATGACGATGGTGATCATAATGATGGTGCTGATGATGATGACGATGCTAGTGCAGATGATGATGATGATGATGATGATGATGATGATGATGTTGATGCTGATGCTGATGCTGATGCTGATGCTGACGCTGCTTATGATGATGATGATGGTGATGATGATGCTGATAATGATGATGATGATGATGATGATGATGATGATGATGATGATGATGATGATGATGATGATGATGATGATGATGATGATGATGATAAGGAGGAGGAGGAGGAGGAGGAGGAGGAGGAAAAGAAGGAGGAGCATGAGAGTCATAGGCGTAACGAAGGTTTCCTTGGAGTCGCGGAAGACCTCCAGACGACCCAGACAGGATGCCTGGGCGGCCCCAGGGCCCCAAGATAGTTCCACGACAGCCTCAGACGGGCAAGAAGATGACCTCGGGGCGACCCCAAGAAGACTCCGTCGCCCCTGCAGGATCCAGACGTAGCGTCGAAATGGCCTGGGGGCGAATCCAAGATTGCCCAAGATGTGAGCGATGCCCTGGAGACCAGGCGCGGTGGCCCCAGAGCGACCCCGAGGTGGCCGGAGCATTCCCAGAGTAGAATACCATGATCTTAAGATGACCTGGAAATGATTTCAAGATGACCTCAAGATGACCCGAACACGTCATACATTGACGGGATTTGGTGCAACCGCGGGGTTTATCAGGACCCCATTGTTCATGGGTGGGATGCACGGTTGGCTGAACTAAAACTAATTCAAATGGGGAACCACTCGCCAAGGATCCCGCCGAGACCACGCAAGAGGGCTATGTTGCTGGGCTTCTAGGAGGGGAGGGGGCTTCAACGCATCCTGCCCCTCAACCCCGTCGGG